TAGCTCAAAAGACCACATAAGTCAGTGGTCTTACTAGGGTTGTCTGTGTTGGTGGTATGCCTGCATAGGACTCACATGAAATATGATATTAACATGAAACCATAAATGACCATGAATGATATATATCGTATTTAGATGCATCTGTATTTGTGAATACATAAGTACCTTTCACAGTTTTGTTTAAATGCAGCATTTCCTCACAAACATCAGTTTGCAGCCATAGCGTTTCCAGAGGTGAGAAGAACCACTTCAATAAGAACTGACAAGTGACAAATAGACCACGGTCTGCTTGCACCAACACTACTCATTATGTGGCAGCCTGTCTTTGATCCTAGTTCTTCCTCACCATAATATTCATTTAAGAAAATGCCCTTGTTTGATTTTAAATTCATTTAAAATATACATTAGGGACTCTATCCAATCTAACCTCTTTAGGAAGGAGCAGGCATTGATATGTTCTAGAGTCACACATATAAGAAAAAGGAAACAAAATTAATATCATGTTTGTTCTGCTTAAAAGATAAAATAACTGATCTTCCAGTATTACAAAAGTAATTAATTAATTAATTACTTCTCTGATAATTTGAAAAATATTTCATTTTTTCATGTAGACTACAAGGGAACAGCTCAAAATGCAGTGATACCTAATATGAAAATTATCACCATAGACTGAAAATATATTTCCAATAAATATTAGGTATCCAGCAATACCACATGTTGTTAGTAATATGCTATCTAAAATAGAAATAATCTGGGGATGCAATAGAAATGGGAATTTGTCACTCACAATAATATAAATAGGTGAAAGAAGAAACAATTTTGTGTGGATAACGGGGGGTGGGTTGACATCATAATGTCCCATTAAGTTAAATTTATAGTATGACAAAATAAGCCACAGAGGTCAAAATTGAATAACATTCATCTTCCATTGAGTCTAACAATTTCAATTACTATCTATTTTTAGAAAAGTCAAATGTTAATCACTTTGATTTTTATTCATATTTGAATGAACATTTATAGGAGATATTTACTGGATATATATTTCATCTGCAGTAGACAGCAAAGGTCCTTGTTAGAATGTTTATTAGTCATGTCACGGTTGGTATCTTTGATTAATAACAACATTGTCTAATTTAATTCACATCAGAACTGTACTTCAAAGAACTGTATTAATCACACAAGAAGAGAACAACAATAAAGTATGTGTCTTGATATTTTTTGTAAGTTTGTTTTATTTATATATAACATAGGGAACTAAAAGCTACTATAACAAAAGTAAAGGGGAAAAATGCAATTTGGGCTGTATGAAGAATGAGTCCCTGATGACGGTTTGAGGTCACTGGCTATTCAATAAAAATCATGCGAAGAAAAAGAACTATTTTGGCAAAACATTTTAGTTATAAAAATATTTAGTTATCCTATGCCTTCTGGAATGTGTTTGTAATCATATGTAATAATATCCAGTTGCTTGTCTTTGTTGTTTATCATGTGCTGAACACTTCAGTAAAGCCAGCTGTATTGTATACCTTGAACATTCTCATGATGAAAGCATGCTGTGAACTATCTTATCTTCTCATAATGATGCAGGTGATTATTATAATCTTGGAGAATGAAGTATCATCTGCTTGTGAGAGAAATGAATAAATGGTTCTTTTCTACTCCTTGTTGACATAAAGCATTTTACTAAAACTGATTACAGCCAAAATTTGCTAGTGATGTGTGTAATATATGAATGAGTACAATCCTTGCACATTTCTTTATGGAGATATGTGACTGGGGATAGCTGATTTACAATCTGCTCTTTGAGCATAGGAACTAGATAAAGAAATGAGCATATATTAAACTGTTAAAATGTGAGATCCTCCATATTAGATAGGAAGCAAAACACAAACTGTGCAGTTGACTGGAAATGCCACCTAATCCCTGCTTAATTAAAGCAGCACACTCTACACTCCTGTTGTGTTGAGGGAGTACAGAGTGTGGGACGGCTGATGGATGAGGAGAATAGCAGTCAGCGTGGCTAATCTCAAAGACTTGGGAGCTTTCTAGCTACATAAATCAGCGCGACTTCTGAATAGCCTCATAAAACACGGTATCATTGCCATTCCACTCACGACGTTTTGGTTCTTCCTACAGCATGCAGATCGTTAGGAAACTTCTAAGCAATCAAGTAATGTGGGTCTGATGAAATTACTCAATCAATGCACAGGCCCAAAGTAGAAGCATAATTCAAACTTGCATAGTTTTTATATGTCAAAGACCTTTCTTTCACCAGGGCAAGGGAGGTGATCCAACATGAAGTGCTATGTATATATGTGTATGTGTATTTAGCAAATAAATATATGCAATTAATAAATGTCTCTAAAATATGATTACCAGAAAATTCAAGCCATTATAATATTATGTATTTTGAGTAGAAAATATATTTTTTCTAAATCATTATGGTTCAAACATTAAAATGTATGTCGCCATCATAGTAAATTAATTTATTTGACAAAATATTAAAACTTAATATGGTATTGTCTCTATTATGCTACCTACATGAAGTAAAGTACAGAGACAAGAATTTCATACACAAACCATGGTTCAATATCAAAACTATCCAGTAAAGAAGTTACGACAGTAACTGACTTTTATCTTTCTTCATGCCTGAACTATCTATTACAACCACTTTCAATTCTGCATATCTCTTTACGTGCAATATGCCTGCCCAATGGGGTCATTCTCAGCCCTTTAGTCCAGAGCTAATACATTCCCCGTGTTGACATTTCTCATATGATTTCATCAAAGTAAACACCTAAAGAAAATTCCAAGTAAGGAAGCTGACCCAGTGCATGTTAACTGCTGCCATACAAGTCTAATACAGATGTACCAGCTTTGGATGTATCATATTTTTGCTAAATATTCAGAAAAGGGGGCATTTAACCTCTGAGGGGCATACCACATAGCCAATTTGCAGTACATTATAAGAGGCATGAAGCTTTTAAAACCCTGTTAGCTTCACTGCAATATTAGTTAATCTATACAAGAAGCCAATTCCTTGTCTAATGCATTAACTTTATTCAAGCCAAATTAATTGAGAAAGAGGTATTTCTTTTAGTTGGCTATACACTGTTGATGCACACAGCTAGATTTCTGCATAGCTGCTGTACAGTTACTTTTTAAGAATCTAGTTATAAACAAGTAAGCCCGTCACTTAGAGAGACGACAGTTGGCAACATATGATAGTTGTTTTCTATTTTGAATCAAATGCCTAGAGTGCCCTGTAAAATAGTATTCCTCTCCTAAAGAAAACCAAGATATATACATACATACATGTTTGTAAATTATTCATTTAACATGTAGAGCACAGAATAAGCAACAAAACAAACACATCTACAAGCAACCCCGGGGGGAGTGGCAAACGTAAGTGAGAAACCCCGGGTCATCAAATGAATATAAAGAAAACCATAATGATCCCATCCCCACGGTCCTGCTCTAGTCACAACTGGACATAAATTCAGGCCATATCATTTCGAAAAGCATGGTTCATTTGCAAACTCTTATCAGAGCGTTACTGAACCCCTGGATGAGACTATAATTTCTTCCTGAAAAGTTCTGAACCTATAGGCACTGTAAGCCCCAGGCAAAACGGGATCCAGAAGGCCAGCTATCTAATGCTTCATTTTCTTAATGCACATGGGCAAAGCTTTCTGAATTCTGACCTCATTACCCCTTGCACAGAGACATACAGTCCCATTGATATAAATGATAGAGACTGGCAGACATGTTTACAAAGATAACCTATAACACCAAAAGAGGGAGCCCCCTGGAGCTGAAGATCAAACAGACCAGACAGAAGCCCCTTGCTTGGAAGTAACTGCCACCTGAAGCTGGTTCACCTGCCAGGTGTGTGTGTGTGTGTGTGTGTGTGTGTGTGCGCGCGCGCGCGCGCCACATTGGGAGGGCAAAAAAAGCTGCGACCCATCTGTCGCCTGGATTTGCAGAACAGGAAACCGTTTGTACCGATAAAACTCATGTACCCAAAAAGAAAAGAAAAGAAAAGAAAAGAAAAAAATCCCCCAGAGGGGTCTCACTGCAGCCCAGTAAAGGAACCTTGCTTGCCTAGGAGGCGAATTTCCGAAAAGGAAATTATCACATTAACGCAGAAAAAAAGGCTGCAAAAGCCAGTCTCCACTCAGCTCTCAAGGATTAGCAAGTGAGAAGAGTTGGAGCCCTTGCTGCGGGCACCCTGCATGATAATGATTCGAGCCAGGCCTCTCTCGCCACGCTGCCCGGACGCTCGGCTCGCCAATAGGTGGGGCCAGGAGCTTGGCGACCCGCGGGGCCTCGGGGAGCGGGGACGCAGAGCTCGCCCAGGAGCAGCTCTGGAGACGGCTGTCAGCCGCTGCCGTGTCTGGCCCCGGGCACCAGAGCGGCCTGCGCCAGTATTGGCATCTCCCACGCCCCGGACCGGGAGCGAGTGCCCGGCCATCCTCTCCAGCCACCTTGTCGCCTGAACCGCAGAGGACCGCGAGCTTGGGCGTCCGCACCGCTCGCCGCAGCGGACTCGGCCGCTCACCATGCAAAACCACCTGTTCGAGCCTCGGGGAGCGCCCCCGGCCCCAGCCCGCCTCTCTCCCCCGCGGATGCCACTGCCAGCCTTACCCACTATGATTTTTTTTTAATGGCTCAAAGGTACATCCGGGAAAAATCGAGAAGGTAGAGTCAATCAAACTTCCTTCTCCCCACACCTCGAGTCCCCACACTCCCCACACTCTTGCGTGGAGGCCGGCGTGAGCCTCTAGTGCCCGGCCCGCACTCCACACCCAGCCTCACTCCGCGCCGCGAGGCTCACCCACAGCTTAGGGAAAGCTGAGCCTGTAAGAGCGCGGGCACCGAGGGGCGCGATCCTAGGCCACTCCGACAGCAGCCGGAGGCTCGAGGGGGTGGGGAAGCAGAGATTACTGCCAAGGAAACGCTAGAGAAAGTCGCCACAAGCCACAGGAGCCCTGTCTTACCGATGTGGATGATGGAATCGGCGGTTGCCAGTTCCCAGGTTCGAGACCACCAGAAGGACAGAAACAAGAGCAAGGGGAAAACTTCCATCCTCCGATGCCGATCCTCCTTGACCACGACTTTGCTTCCAATATGTAGATATTCTCTTAAGCAGTCCACAGAGTTTGAGGTTACGGTAGAGTTGAGAGCAGCTTTCCCCCTAATTTCCAAATCCCTCTTGACAGAGCACAACCTTTCCTGGTCGCCGAGGAGGCACAGGCGACCCGAGAGCTAGCACAGCCAGAGGCAGCCTCCTCCCAAGCCCTGTCACTCGGAGGGGAATTTTGGCATTGCCAGAGTTGTTTGCAGTTGGGCTTTTAAAAAAATGTATCCAGCCTTGGCTGCTCTCGGACGGGGGGCGAGGCTGGCGCTCAGATGGTGGCCGTGGCTGCGCGGGGGCCGCGGTGGCCGGTCCCAGCTCCGCCGCAACTTGGGCACCCCCGCGCCGGATGTGCCCGCGCCCTCCCCCGCCGCCGAGCCCCTCCACCCCGGGCCGCGCGCGGTCGTGGCGCCTCGCGGCCAGCTCTCAGTGCCACCGGCGACGAGGAAGATGCGAGCGGAGTCGCCAGATTCCAGCGGGGAGGGGGAGGCCCGCTCCGGGAGGGGTGGCAAAAGTGAACTTGAACGTAATGCAGCTAGTAATGCAGAGAAGACTCCCGTTCAGCGCGAGGCGGGCCCCGGAGCTGGCGCGGCGGGCGCGGTGGCGGGGGAGTCCGGCGGGAGCGAGCAGCGGGCCAGGCCGGCGCTCGGAGCCGCGGCTGCAGGATGCTCTCGAGCCGCTCGCCTGGCGGGATGCGGGAAGCCAACAGCAGCCTGGCAAGCTCAGCTGCAGACCCACGTTGCCTAGAAATGGATCACCTAGGAGAAGCGAGTCCGCAAGAGAGCGGTGCTGTCAGGCGGAGAAGGGAACCGAGAGAGGAAGAGCTTCTAATAACCACCTCCTCCCCCTATCTGCAATACAAGGGAGAAACAAAACCGCGCTCTCAATTCCCTGGGAATCTTCACCCGGACTGAGAAAGGCAGGACTCAAAAAGAAGGCAGTGAAGTCCCCCACCTGCCTTGACGTTTTTTTTTTTTATTAATTGTGTTTTCCCCTTAGGTTAAAAACAACCTAAAAAGCCACCCCACTTATTTAACCTTGCTGTCCCCCAACAGGTCCTGGACTTTTTCTAGTCTTCCTCTGGAATTAGTCACATTGGCTAAGAACAAATTAGGGACACCAAGTCACTTAGGGAAAAGAAGACCTAGAAAGCTTTTAATGAGATTTCAATTATAAAGTTATAAAAAGCTGAGAATGTGCTAATTACCTTTAAACAGTGGTTTGCTCCCCCACCCTCTTTTCGGTCTCTGGTGTTTTTAAGGCAATCAAAATACAGAAAGAATTTTCAAATATTGTTTGAAAACGGACAGTCTTGACATTTAAAAATATATCTAATAATATTAAAGACAATAAAACAAAACAAACAAAAATGCCTCAGTCGTCAAAATATTCCATTGAGTTAATCACCTGTGCAGTTAAATAGCCACAGGGAAGCTCTTTGCTGCTCTTGGGGAGCCTGCAGATTCACTGTAAGGCAAGGTCCCAGCCTTGAAAGAAGGGATTTTGTACAAGCTTTATCTCTCCCTGCTCCTGGTGACTTGTAATGACTAGTTCATAGCTTTCCATTTTATTACAGAAGGGCGTTCTGTTAACTCAACCAAGTGTGTAACTGAGGTCAGGTATTAACAGCTCTGATATTGTTTCAATTACAAATGTAGTCAGCTGGGAATCTTGTCACTTGGGGGGTGGATATCAGAACCCAAGTTCATTGTGAGTCTTGCTAAGATCTTTTCTTCCTGTTTCCTCACTGACCCCTTTTCTACTATTGTGGTGATTTGACTTAGTTGCCTATTGTCACTTCTGAGATGTCCTAACTCTCCTTCATTTTGTAAAGTCCATCCCTGGACATTCCAGAAAATGTTTTGTTCTTTTGCTCCTTACGTCAGCAGTTCCTCCTAGATTGCATAAAGTCATCACCCATTCAAGCCCCTCAGCAGCTATGGAGCGGAAACTCATCAAACACTGCCCTACCTTTGAGTGTGAAATAATCCCGTCCATCTCCTAGGCTCTCACTGCAGTCTTCATGGAATCAAAGAGAAACACTAGTTTGAAATGATGTCTTCACTGATGATTGGGACTTATACACATGTTTTTGATATAGCCAATTGCAGAGCCCCAACTGTTGAATTTCAGATCCTTCTGAATCTAGAACAAACCAGTGCTTCCAGGAAGCCATCACTGGCTGTACTTCCCAATCACTTTTCATCATCTGTTCATTTCCCCACCATGAATTCAATATGGATGATATTCATGTTATTATTGATGCCATCTACCATTCAGAGTATCCTGATGCACTTCCATAAATGCTGATACAGATAATGAACTTTTTAAAATGGGTGTATGTCCACACAGTACTATGGTTTTAAAAGCTAGTGACTCACTGTGTATTCTATCAAGAGAAATTGTGAAGTCATCATTTAAGATGGACACAACAATATCATCCTGAATCAGAATGATAGCTAAAACCTTCAAACAATAATTGTGTCATCCCATCCTAACTTTATTAAGTGCTGTTCTTGGAGATTACTAATAACCAAATACACTCGTGTTCACATAATCTATTAGAAACTTCTTTTAATGTACCACAAATAAAACATGCGATTATTCCAAAATCCTCCATTTAGGAGTCTTCTATTATAAATACATTATAAAATAATCTGGTACCTTAATGCACCTTCTGTTTCTGTGATAAAACATTGACTAAACCAAACCAACTTACATGGAAAAAGAAGATTTATTTGGCTTATATTTCCATGTCATTTCACTCTCTATCCTTGAGGAAGACGAGCACAGTAACTCAATCAACAACCTGGAGTCAATGGAATAGTGCTACTTACTGGCTTGTTCCTCATTGCTTTCTGAGTCTGCTCTCTTAAACAACCCAGAGCCACCTACCTGCCTAGGGTAGCAACCTTGACAGAGGGTTGAGCATGACATGAGCTTTCATGTCAGCCATAAATTAAGGAAATGCTCTAGAGACATGCTCTACAGACCAATCTGCTGAGAGCATTTTCTCATTTGAGGTTCTCTCTTCCCAAGGGACCTAGCTTATGTCAAATTAACAAGAACTAAACAAGAATGCCTGTACTTCTTTGCAAAGGGCTTGAGTATATAATTAAGTAAAAAACTCCAAAGCTTGGAATTCAATCTATAACCTACCCATTTTTTTGTAAGTACCTCTAACAGATAATCATTGTTCAGAACCACTATTCTAATATTTGGCCATCTAAAAAAATTTGGGTGACACATCTCACAGCACACCAAGATATAATGATCAACCCCTGTCAATTAAAAGAGGTCACTCAAACATGGGTTGAAACTTTCCAAATGTAAAGCAAGAAAGTTTGTATAAAACTAAAGTTATAGCATCAGCTTATTGATTTTCAATTTAGGAACAGATGCCTTTTCTGTATCCAAGAAATTCCTATGCCCAGTGAGGCCTAATTAATTGGCTTTGTGTTAATATAAATTTCCACACTTAAACAACGTATAACTATATGTTTTAGAAAATTGGATAGATTATGATAGTTACCTAGAAACAAAAATTTACAACATACACAATGGATGTTAAACACCAGGTGTAAAAATAGCATATTTACTGACTGTATTTATTAATTATTTATTGATCTACAGGGAATTAAACCTTGTATACATTAGACATATGCTAAGAAATGTTTCTACCATATAACTGTATTTTTAGCTTATTGTTTTTCTGATTCTTTTATTTTGAGAAATTGTCAAAAATTTGTCTGGATTGGCCTTGAACCTATACTCCTTCAATCCTGGCCACCTAAATAGCTATGACTCCAGATCAATACCAGGAAGCTAAACTTTGTTATGTTTTGTAAGTAGACTTTGCCTTCCCTATTACTTAGCTTCTTTGAGTCTGTGGATTTTAGCATGGTTGTCCTGTATTTTCTGGCTTATAACTGAGTACATAGCATGTGTGTCTTAGACTTTGCAAAGATAGTTTCTCTTTCATAAATGCTGCTTCATTTGAATCAGTCATCACATATGGGTACGAAATATCCACTTTGGCTCCTGTCCTCTGCCTCAGTTATTATGAAGACAGCCTTCATTCCCTAAAGTTTTATAACAGGCACTTAACTTTGGAGGAATAAAATAAAAGTGAATGATAATTAATAATTCATGGATTTTTCCCAGCTGAGACTGTGTCTTCCTGGAAAAATCACTGTGAAATCAACATCAGTGACTTGGAGAAGTTGTAGAAAATGTGAGCTTCATGATCTAAAGTGTAATTAGTAATTGTTTTTAATGGAAAGCAGAATTTTAGAGAAGTATTCATTTGTGTTGCTTGGTTAGGGCACATGTGGTCTCCTTCAAATGCATGTTATGTAGAAGGAAAGCAAGACTACGGGAATTCTTCGTGTAGAAGGTCATGCTTTTATTTTCACTTGAAACACATCTAAGAATCCCAGGGTCTACCTTAGTAAAGTCAGCTTCTTTCTATTATAAACAACACTGAATCCACTCATTTTCATCAAATTTTAAAAGCTTTGGTGATAACCCAATATACAAAGGATTTTGTTTTAACATAAAAATCAATACATTTGTAAGTGTTTATTTTAAGTTTAAGGCAAGGTTAGCTTTCCAAATAACACTACCAAAATGTGTTTGGATAATTATTTTTAGCTATATATAATGATATCACTTGCAAGATAAATGTTGGTAGGCGCTTAGTCTAAATAAATTGCACTCTTCCAGATAAATATATGAAGAAATAAAAGAGAACAATAGCTGAACAATGAGTGGTTGTAAGAATAGGAGTTAAAGTTTTACATAAATGCACACTGGAGAGACGTGAAAGGATGCATTTTCTTTGAGAAAGAAGCCCAAGGGAAATGATTTTTTTTTAAACTTAGCAGATCATGGAAATTCAGTGTTAATGGAATTTCAGAGCCTGATTTATTCAGTTTCTTGTTTTTCTTTCTAAATGAAGATTAAAAAATTCAGTCCCAGAATTTTTACTGCTATTTGTTATAAAACTGTAAACTTAGAAAACACAGTTTGGCTTTTTTATATTCATTTATTGTGGTGTGTTTGAATGTTTTGCCTGCATGTAAGTATGCACACTGTACAAGCTAACTAAGTGATGAAAAGGTATTTCTCCGTAGAACAAGTGTTATGGGTAATTATGAACCTATGTGGATTCTGAAACGCAAGCCACCGAGTGGGTGCTGAACCACTTCTTTAACTTTCTGGTTTTTAATATGTTCCAAAAATTCTTATGGAATACAT